CCACCCCCACCCCCGAACCCTTTTCTGCTTTTTTCCACCGAGGTGCATCAAAACATTGGGGATACTGCAGAGGTAATTTAATACTCAGCTATTGCCGGGTGTCCATGAATTCCCCAGCCATAGAAGTCACTTTCATTATTTGCCCTGACAAGATCCCAGATTTAATCTGTGTTTTTTCCTTGTTTGGCTGGAACCTGGCTGCGAGAAGACATTTCCAGGCAAGATCCCTGGACCATCCAGGGACCATCCCAGCTTCTTACCTGGGTGCAGCAGAAGAGGGCAGCCGCCAGCAGGTACCCAACTGTGCCTTGCTTCATTCTGGCTTCTCAGCTGCTCAGCAGGAAGGTGGCGGGGTGGAGATCCAAGCTGGCCAAGTTCCAGACAGGGGGTGGGGTCGGAGTTAACAGAACAAGGATGAGGCAGAAGCTTGTCGACAGCAGCAGGCACTGACTGGACAAGCCATAGATGACCGGCGGGGCCGGGAAGTCCTTTCCTTTTTGGATTTGCTTTCCTGAGTGTGGAAAGCAAATAGCAGCTTGAGCAGGAGAGCGCAGAGGAAAAGAAGGCGGAGAAGGGCAGAGAGGAGTAGGAACAGGGCATGGCCTCCAGGAAGGAATGCACACAGAGCCGAGCGGCTCTCCACCCCCGGCCAGCCTCAAATGGAGGGGAGGGACTGCCAGACCCTCTGCGCCAAACGCTCCTGCCACAGGCTGGGGGGAGGCGGGAGCCCTCATGGCACAAGGGCAGCAAGCAGGTGGCACCCCCCTCCCTGCTCAGCCCACACTGGCAAGGCCAATCCGTTCATACCCTGGATTCTTCCGCACTTTTATAGCTACTTATAAAACCTTGGCTGCGAACACAGGATGGGAAACGCGCCGCACGCACCCAGGAAGGGGCACTGCAGATGTGCAGCCTCTCTCCGCTGCCCCACCCCCCAGAATCATCACTGGGGAGGGTGGGGTAGACAAGCAGCCTTCTGTCCCCAACACTTCGACTGCAGTAGACTATCCAAAGAGCTACCAGTATAGTATTTTGATTCCTCCCAATTGATCAATTCGATCCTGATTCTACGGGAACACTGTTGACCTTGCCTAGAATTAAACAATTTATATAGATTTTTATCCATTACAGTACTGCTGTTTTTAATCTATTGTGGGGAGCAGCTTTGTTTTAAAAGGTACAGTACAAATGTTCCCAGCAAATACATGAACACGGCATACTTCAGCAGACACACGGAAGCACAATTTCAACAGGGGCTGAGACTCAGCCCGGTACTTTAGAGTCTGTGCAGGCGCAGCGCCTCCAGTCAGTTAACCCGCAGCCAGGCTCCCCCCGAAAGACGATGGGGCCAAATCCTCAAGGGCTTCGGGTGGTGAACTACACCCGGCCTAGGAAAATGG